ATTAGGCATCACAATAGGTACCAATTGCGTGCCATCAGCCACTAGTCTACCGGATCGTGAACCAAAGTTCTCCGGAGCACTATCGTGTGATTTAGCAACTCCCATGGAAACATCATTTCCAACATTGCTGCCATCAACTAGCATCTCATAATGTGCAACATCGTTGCCGTTCCTACCATTAGAACGTGCACCACAAGCAACATTCACGGATCCAACACTTTTGGAATCCATCGACTCGTTCATTATAAAAAAAATATAATGTTTTAAGATTGTTGGTGATAATGGACCATCTCCCTTGTGGTCTGATGGTATCTAGTATAGACCTTCAAATGGGAGGCCTGGGATCGATTCCCCACCCAAGCATGGGGTGGAATTTAGTTGAATAACGATCCTGGGTCCTTGAAGGTCACCCCTTAAACACATAATGTAATCCAGTTCGGACCGTGAACCCCGGACCCCATGCTCGGACCCCTCAGGCCGGCCGTGGGCCGTGTCGCTTGGACCCTGAACTGTTTTGGGTCTCTCCGGACCGGGCCTTGACCGGACCCCAGATCATATGACACGCCTTTCCGGACCGCGTGGTCCTGGGACTTAGGCGTGCGGTTCTAAGACCACCCCGGACCAAAAACCGCCCTCCTGGACCATGTGGCTAGCCCGAGCCCATTGTGGCCCGAGTGACACTCGCTCCGACCGCTGCGCCTGGGCTCCGAGCCGTGCTCCCCGGACCCCAGACCAGTGCACTTTGGGCTCTGCACCGCTAAACTCGAGCCAGTGGCTCGGGTCCTCTATGTAAGCGCAGGTGCTGTGCATCAATTTCCTTGTAAAAAAAAAAAAAAAAAAAAAAAAAAAAAAAAAAAAAAAAAAAACCAAAATCGATTTAATATCCCAAAATAGTATTTATATATATACACATGAAAATATATAAAATATTATTGGATATATATCCAAATATATATATATACACACAAATATATATAAATCAGACCACACGGTTATATATATATATATATATATATATATATATATATATATATATATATATATACGGGGAAAGATATACATATATCTAAATCAACCGAAATAGAATTTGTAATCTTCTAGATTACAATTCTAATCAACAAGAAAGTAGAAAGGATTTTTGCTTAAAGCATAATCCAAAACAAGAAAGAAGGAGAGGAAGAAAGATGGTAAGTATGAGTTAGGCGAAGTGCCTTTTTCCTTAAAACCTTATTTGTCACCTCTCACGAGTGCTAGGAGCGTTGTGGCCTAGGCTTCCCAGGATAAAACGTACAACGGTTCGACGTTTGAGCACCGAAACGAACAAACCCGGCGAACAAGAGCACGGGCAGAACACAGCTTCAAGAATGGAGTAGGAGCAAAGTTTTGAGAAGAAAAGTAGAATTTCTTTTTGTGTGTTCTTGTGTTGTTTCTCACCTTTTCTCTATGTCACTTTTTTCAAAAAGGTTGCTCCGACAACATGTTTATATAGGAGATTGGTACTTAATAGCATCATCATGACACATTAACCAACATAAATTCAATTTAATAATTGAATTATAACGTTTGAAACGGTCGTACTTATTATCGAAATAATATTAACGGTCACGGACTTAATATCCGATTAGTTTGTACCGACCATAACGACCCATTTCAAAATATCTGAGTGACCGAGAAGTCCGTACAACCCCAAAGGTCGAACGAAGTTGGGACCGAAAGCCACACCCTAGTTGTCTGCAAGCACCGAAGTGGTGCAGCACGAATCTGCAGCACGAAAGATGCCAAAACAAGTTTCGTGCTTACAGAAACCAAAGCTCCTAATTGAGCTTTACATTTGTACAACACGAATCTTCAAATCCCAATCCACTAATTAAGCAACCAAAGCTTAATTACACTTAAGCTATAAAACAACGTTTGTGCAGTACAACGAAAGTTATTAAAATGTTAATTTCTAATTAGCATTTAAACTTAAATTTTTGACTTCTCTCAAATAGGTTTACCACAAAATAGTCACTCAAAATGTCATTTTAATGCTATTTTTCCAACAAGTGTTACCCAAAAAAAAAAAAAAAAAAAAAAAACAAAATAAAACAAACAAAAAAAAAACAAAAAAAAATTATTAAGAAAGCCCATTTGCACCAAAACACCAAAAATCTCCACCAAATATCACCGCAAAAGGAATATTCTCAAGATATTATCACACCAAATTTTATTTATCTTTGATCAATTACACCAAATGTTATTGTACCTTAAATCTAAACATAAAATCTAATTTGTGATGTAAATATTGAAAAATATTTGAGTCAATTCCATTTTTGGTCCTAGACTTATTGGGGCGTGGACAGGTTTCATCCTCCATAATAAAAATTGCCAAATTATAGCCGCACTTATTGGTCGTTAGACACTTTTAGTCCTCCGTCAATAAATCAGTCTATTGACCGTGAAATAGAAGGGCAAAGCTGTCTTTTTATGTGTTCTTCTTCTAATCTGCCTAGGTCGTCCGCTGGCTATGAGTGTTGATGACTTGATGTACACCATAACAAGTCCTGCAAAATCCACACAAAACACCACTAGGGGAAACAACGGTCGTTCTCTACTGAACTGAACAGCAGAGGAAAAATATTTGCATGGAAGATTGAACAAAACAAAAGAAACAGCAAGCCAGAGCTTCAACAAAAAATCTCCAAACACAGAACCCAATCCATACCTTTCCGACATAAAATCTCTTCAACCACAAATCCTTCCACACCTCATGAGTCTCTCAAGAGCCCTTCTCGAATTCGGAAAAGTGAACAAAAGATAAAAAAAAAAAAAAAAATCGGATCAGATACTCTATAAGGAATTAACTCTATAAATAAAAAGCAAAAGAAAGAGGGAAAATCATTGCCGCCACAACCACATCTCCGTTGAGAGGAAAGGAATGGAAATCGGATTAATCAAAGAAATCCCCAGCAGAATAAAGATTTTGTTTTTCAAGAAAAGAAAAGAAATGAAATGGTGGGCCTAAGCATATCTGTCAATCGGAGCGGGAGGAGGGAGATTGAGATTGAGAACAACGGCTTTCCCCAGCGAATTCGGCTCAGAACAATCGAAATCAACGACAGAGGAAGAATCGGAGTTGCTTGAATTCGGCTCAGAACAGTTCTCGACTACTCCTTACTGCCGCCTCCTAGAAGCTTGAAATCCGCTTCTTCTCCGACCTCTTCGTAATGTGTGTTCTCCTTCTCCGCCTTGCACTTGTCGACATCAGAGTCCTTGCCGCGACTAACCGAAACATCGTAGTCGTTGAGGACGGCGATGTCCAGCGGGTGAAGCAAGACGCGGTAACGCGCTAGACGAGATCGGAGAAATTAGAGACCTTGTTCACCATTCTCTGACGGCAGCAAGGAACGCGGTGGCGATGTTACGGAGTTCGCTGTGCGGTTCATCAGGCTGGTGGTTGGCGGCGGCAGCGGCCCCGGGGATTTGGGGCCCACGTCGAATGAGGAGATTATTGGAGTAGGAGACGGAGATTAACCTGGAATCCTCGGTCAACAGCGAAGACTTTGTTCTTCTTGGCAAGATTAGGAGAAGAAGACATAAAATGATATAAATGCCCTACATTTTCACAGTCAACAGACGACACAAATGACAGAGGACTAAAAATGTCCAACGATCCATAAGCATGGCTACAAATTGGCAATTTTTATTATGGAGGATGAAAACTGTCCAGACCCCAATAAGTCTAGGACCAAAAATGGAATTGACTCAAAATATTTTGATAAATTGGGAGAAATGGAAATGGACTAGGAAATTATAAATTTTTTTTTTTTTGAAGTTAACTTTCATTTTTTGAAATTTTGTTGTATTTGACACTGTTCACTTGTGGCATTTTTTTGTTTTATTTTGGCATTTGCAGGTGTTTTGTCTCTGGGTTGGACCAGGTGATTTGGTAATGCAATTTAACTTTTTGCCCTTGGAGATACTGTAAGTATAACAAATACCTTGCAACAATTCACATAGGCCGGGTTGAGCAAAAATCGACAGGCCCTCATAACCCGACAATTATGATTTATGAAAGGGGAGGCAGGTCGCAAATTATGCTGTGGACTCGTGTTCACAATGCATTGTGAACATGAGTCCAAAACGACGTCGTTTTAAGGGAAAACGTGGCCTTGCAGTTAAAAAAATAAATTTGATTTTGTCTCACAGTTAACGGCGTTATTTGTTTGTGGCATTATGAATGTACAGTTATGTAATTATGAATGTACAGTTATGCAATTATGAATGTACAGTTATGCAATTATGAATGTACAACTATGGAATTATGAATGTAAGTTATGGAATTATGAACACAGAGCTCTGACATTATGAACTTACAGTTATGAACATATAGTGATAAAATTATGAACATAGAGCTCTAAAATTGTGAACATATGTAGAGTTTCGAAAATTATGAATTTACAGTTATTGAATTATGAATGTACAGTTATGCAATTACGAATGTACAGTTATGCAATTACGAATGTACAGTCATGCAATTATGAACACAGAGCTATGACATTATGAACTTACAATTATTAACATATAGTGATAAAATTATGAACATAGAGCTCTAAAATTTTGAACATAGAGTTCCAAAAATTATGAATTTACAGTTATTGAATTATGAATGTATAGTTACGAAATTATGAATGTACAGTTATGCAATTATGAATGTACAGTTATAGAATTATGAACCCAGAACTCTAACATTATGAACTTACAATGATGAACATATAGTGATAAAATTATGAACATATACTCCTATAACAAAGTGGTCTAAAATTTAAAAAAAAAAAAAAAAATGGAAGACAACAGTGCCACAAACAGCATGCTGGACACGGGTCCATAGCATAACGATTGGAGGCAGGTGGGGTATCTGATCCGGAATCATAACCCGGATAAGCATTAAAGCATAACCCAACGGATCTGAAATAGAAAATGGAAGCTTATCTTTCTACAGCAAATTAAAGGGCTCCTAGTTTCAGAAAAAGCATGTAGTAATGCTTATAATAAAGTAAAAGTCATGGCACATATTTCATAACAATCATATAGAATGGTTTATTCCGAATAACTAAGAATTGGGAGGCCTCAGATGAATGAGTACAGAGGATGCCAATTCAGAGCTTGAAATGCAACAAGGCAGAAGTTCCATCAAGGCCCTTTGCATGAAAATGGGCTACGTACTCCTTCACTGTGGTTTCCCTGTACTTTGGACGATTCTCATCTGACAATAGTTCTTTAATTGGTCCACAAACCCGTGACGATGGCAACATGTATGTAGTAAAGAAACCTGCCACTGATATCCTGGGACCACATTGATTAGCCAGCACTCTGTGTTCTGAGCTCTTGAACCTATCATTTGTCATAAGCTGCTCCCAAAAACACAGAAATTTGTTTGATTAAAAAAAATGAGTCAATTACATTTAAAATATAAAGAATTTAAGGCTTGTTGCCGGTCGGAGCTGAGGCTAGTAAGGGCCAATAGTGGGGTCCACATAGTTATACATTATATTATTTCAGAAGTTTCATTATTTTAACACGTAATGTACATTATTCTAACACATAATGTACATTATTCTAACACATAATATTCAACGACGTCGTTTATGTATAATTTTTTTCTTCATGCGCTCAGACGCCCAACTGCAACATACATTTTTATAAATTATAATGTACATTATTCTAAAGCATAATGTATATTATTCTAAAACATAATGTACATTATATTAACTTAGAAGTTTCATTATTTTAACACGTAATGTACATTATTCTAACACATAATATTCAACGACGTCGTTTTGGACTGTGGTCCACACAGCTTTGTGGACCACAGTCCACACAATAATTTGCCAGTAAGGGCCAAAGTCTAGCACCATGTGATAAGAGGATTGTTAGGCGAAGGTCGGTAAAAGGGTTGAAAATGTGACGCTACTAATATAATGGTCACTTCGCTTTTAGCGTAATGGTAAGCACTTGATTGTAAGACTTACCTGGAGAAGATCTCCAATGTTGACAACCAGAGCTCCTGGGGAAGGGGGAACATCAACCCACTGGTTTTGGTGAAAAACTTGAAGGCCACCTATATCATCTTGAAGCAAAATTGTGAGAAAAGTGTCATCGGAATGCTTGGTGTTGCCTAAAGTTAGGTCTGGTTCTGGGCAGGGTGGGTAGTAATGCCCCAAAACGGCTAGCCCCTTACTGCACTCAATGTCTTTGAAATAGTTTGGATTTAGGCCTAAAGCCTCTGATAGTAGTTCAAACAAAACACCCCCTACTTCTTTCACTTCTTTTGAGTATTTGATAAGAATATCGCTGCATCAAATTCCACACCACTATTATCAACGTAACAAATTAAATCTTGTAGTTTATTAATTGCCATGCATATATATATATATAAATTTAAACACAGACAAATTAAACCTGCAAACCGGAGGCAGTTCTTGAGGATGAGGGGGATTAGGAGCCATGAAGCAGAAGATAGTGTCCCTCCAATTAGCTGCTGGTGCAGTATACAGATCAAAGTTGCAGTTATACACTACCCTCCTTGATCGATCTCGTGTATACCATTCCTTCTTCACCTCTGTATCTTGTTCATGGAATCCTCGTACCCCACTCATGATTTCCTCCAAAACATTTATTGGGATCCCATGATTCACCACTTGGAAGAAACCCCATGTTTTAGATGCTTCTCCAATTGCCTCAACGACCTCTCTGCGCTTCATCTCATTCCCATGAATGCCTTCAAGGTCTATGATTGGGATGCTGTGTTTGTCAGCGGTGGGATTAATATTGGATGAGTTTTGGGTTGTTTTTGGATGAATGAATATTGGTGGGAGTTTGGTTATGCCTGCATCAATAAGACCTTTCACACCAGCTTTGGTCTCATCAAAGGCCTTCAGCTCACTTTGCCTGTCTCCATTCTCATGGTGAAATTGGTTCAAAGTTGTGGCCTCCATTTTAACACTCAATGAGATGTGGTTTTCCCTTGCTCACAACCTTACATATACTGAGGAACTTTGTCAGCTATCTTTTACTCCAATCTTAACCTGAAATTAATAGGTTGGCCGGATAATATTAATTTATTTTTTTTTTTGAGTTACGACCAAAATACATTAGCCTAATAAGCTTGAAATTAATCTTTCTTTATATATAATAAAGCAGAATCTTAACTTTCCCTCCAAAAGTATGAGTGGACTTTGAGAAAATGGGTTGCTGCAATTAGATAGGTTTGACCCATAAAGTTTTAAAAAAATATATATAATTATATATTGACCCAACATTTGTTATATTAAAATTTTTATTTTTTATTATATTATATTATTTAGTGTTAATTGATTTATTTATAAATTTTGTAATGCCAATATATATATATATATATATATATATATATATATATATATATATATATATATAGGCTTTGGATTTGGTGCACCCCCCCTAATAGATGAGCCCATGAGGCCTAATAATACCCATTGATTAGATTCCCATCTATGGTTGAGATTAAAAGATATATTTTCAGTTATTATCTATGGTAAGGTTAGATTAGTAAATTGGTTAGCTGATTTAATTAATGAATTAATTTAAAAGGAATATGAATCATCTTTTGATGCTTTTGATGATGGAAATTAAATGATTGTATCTTGAAAAGGATTAAAAGAATGAAATAACGTTAACAATGGTAGATGTGTGAAGGCAGGAACAACACTTTCGGACTTGCAGCAAATGGACAGTAGCAGTACAGGTAAGTGCATATACACGCCTAAGTCTGTGCATTTCCATGATTTCTCGAAACGGTTTACGGCTGAACAAGGGTAGTCGATGACCGACGATATTTGTGAGCGTTAAGGACGACCCGCCTGTGCGTACGCCGTTAGAACCTAGTAGGCAAGTTAGGCTGGGGTTGTGGGTTGTTCGATACCCGACTATCCAACGGCCTAAGCGTAAAGATACGTTGGCCAGTGCATGCGCTGTACTGCCTAATAGACAAAATCGCCTGTGTCCGAGGTGTTTTTTTTTTTTATTTTTTTGGTTTCCACCAGTCCGTGCGTAAACACTATTATGTCTGTGCATATACCTGCTTTTGTCGAATGGTTATTACCGGAACGCCGGGGTGCATTTGAGTGCGTCGGTTTTTTAATTACCTTACTTTTGAGTGGCAGGTGCGCCAACTACGGGGGGCGATGTCGACGAAGAACATTGTTATATGAATATATCCCCGAGTGGAACGAAGATTTGGTTGACGGCTTGCGACACATCCATAAAACCATTTGTTGGGCAATTGTTTGCAACATTAGACGAAGGTGTTGAGTTCTATAACAATTACGCCTCTGTCGCAGGCTTTGATGTGCGCCGCAGTTCAGACAAAAAGAACAAGTACAACATTATCTTAAGGAAGAAACTGGTTTGTTCACGTGAAGGTTACAAAGCGGGGAAAAAATCTGATCCACCAGAAACGGTAATTGGAAAAAAGACCAAACGTCGTAGGCCATCTAACCGAGTCGGGTGCATGGCAAAGATTGTGTTCAAAATAGACGGTGCGGGGAGGTATTTAGTCACGACATTCGAAGAGGGGCACGCGCACTGTTTGTGCGATGATAGCTATAAACCGTTCTTGAAAGTAAATAGGAAATTGGATGTTGGTCACCAACAATTCATAACAAATTGCGCAAAGGTGAATGTGGGCTCGAGCAAAAGCTTTGAAATATACGCAGAGGTTGTGGGTGGAACAGAAAACGTTGGAGCAACACAACAAGATTTCAAAAATTACCGACGGGATGTCTTGGCATACATGCACGGAGGAGACTGCCAAATGGTAATATCCAAATACCTGGATATCAAGGCTGACTACCCTGACATGTACTTTGAGTACGAAGCAAACCATAACGACCAATTGATACGGATTTTTTGGTCGGATGGTGTGGCACGGAAACATTACAGTGCGTTTGGAGATGTTGTGTCCTTCGATGCGACGTACAAGACTAACCGGTAAGAAATTCTGAACCTTGTATAACTTTTTCTATATGCGGACACCAGAAATATGCGAATTAATGTTACTGTGTGTGTGTGTATATATTTGACCCTCGATATTTAATAGCACTGATGATAGCGTACTAATCACAGAGTGTGTGCGTTTTCGCTGATACCCATTGATATCAGAAATTAATTCAGAAAGCTATATTTTCTTCATGTGCGCCACTGTAAAAATGTGCGTATGTGTGTAGTGTCCGATAGTATAATTAAATGTTCAGCAGTGGTGGGTGCATAATGTTGTACAAGTTTGTGCTCCCAGGTACGGCCTCGTGTTTGTCCCATTTACCGGGATCGACAACCATAAGAAATGCGTGACATTTGGAGCAGCCCTGATTGATCGGGAGGACGTGGACTCGTACATTTGGGTATTAAAGAACTTCAAAAACGCAATGGGCAGCCCCCCCGCAATCACTGTAACTGATCAAGATCCGGCGATGAAAGTTGCAATTGCACAGGAATTCCCTGAAACGCGTCATCGGTACTGCATGTGGCATATAATGACAAAGGTGGGTGATAAAGTGGGCACTGACCTAGCGAGGAACGAAGAGTTTAGACGGGAGCTAAATACTGTAGTATGGAACGACGCCTCAACTACTGCAAATTTCGAGCATGCATGGAAAGCTGTAATGGAAAAATATGCCATAACTGAAAATTCGTGGCTGAAACATATGTATGATGAGCGTGCGTCATGGGTTCTTGCGTGTTTTGAAGGAGTTTTTATGGGCGGATTACTACGTACTACATCCCGGTCCGAGGCTGAGAATAGAATTTTCAGAAGCAATACTAACAAGCACCTTTGCCTTACAGAATTCTTCATCCGATTTGAGAGTACAGTGCGAAAGCAACGGATCACGCACGCACATCTTAGTGGTGCCAGCAACGCACAGACTCCCCTTTTCAAAACACCACTGGGAATTGAACGACATGCATCCGAACTGTACACACTAACAGTTTTTTATGATGTCCAGGAGGAAATTATTGCAGGTTGTTTTGAATGCCGGGTAAGAGCAGTGACAATCGGTGACGGCATCAAGACTTATGAGGTGGATGATAAGCGCGGGACACAGTACGGTTTGACCGTTGAGGATGTGACAATGATTACGCACTGCCCCTGCCGAATGTATACAAGGATTGGTCTATTGTGTCGACACGCTTTTGCAGTGCTAATATACGAGAGGGTTGATACCATACCGCCGCAACAGATCACCCCGCGATGGACACGCAACGTAATAACAGAATATGAAGATGAACTGAGGAAGTATGGATATGGAGGGGCCATAACGGGTAATGAAGCATCAGATGTAATAAACACGTTCTACAGTTGTTTGGGGATTGCCAAGGGGGACAGTTTAAAATTGCAACAAATGTGTTCTGTTTTATCGGATATGGAGACAACTTGGTGCGGGCACGAAGAAGTCCAAGTGGATGCAGCTAGTGGGAAACAAGCGATCATGGAGTCTTACTGTGGCGTACCCGCACCTGAGACGATTACTGTGCACCAACCACCGGTGACAAGCAACAAAGGGTCGGGTAAACGGATGAGGTCTGCTAAAGAGCTGGCAATGAAGGAGCAAAACAGGAAGAAGCGCACGTGCAAAACTTGTGGCATGGCAGATGGGCATAACAGTAGAAGCTGCCCGCAGAAGTAGACGTGTTATTAGCTATAGCATGCAATTCTGGAAGTTTTTTGTGAGATCGTTTATTCTGAAACTCGTGCACCTTTTTGTATGTTTTTATCCAGCATTCCCATTTTTTTGAGGAAAATGTTACCAGGGAAGCTTTTATAATATGCATATCTTGTTTGACCAAGTCTGTAGGCATTAAGCTTTTTTCCAAGCATTCCCATTTTATAGTTGGCAGTTCCGTATTTCCCATCTGGATTTACCTGATTAGGACTTAGAAGTTGTGATGTGCTGACTTTTTTTAATGCCTGATTTTTTATGATGTAGTAAAACAAATGTATAACACAAATGTCTGGACTGCTCCGCTACCAAATATGCGTTAGTACGCATAGATTGCATGTATGGAATGCGTTGTAGTCGATAGGTACGTGCTTATATGCGTAACGAAAATGTCATGTGCGAAGGAAGTATAAATTGGCTGCGTAATACGGTTATGATTGTTGACAACATATTAGTCATATGATTGGGTGGCAGATTTAGTACAAACAAATTGTGCGTTTGTTTCAAGCAGTCGATGCACCGTTAAATTAATCTTTTCTTTGGTGCATTAACGTAGTTAGTGCGTTTATATGTATGAAATGTCGTTGGTCTACTATGCACTGATCAAATCACAAAAATAATATAATGGAAATACGTATAATATTTGTAATGGAAATCTGGTCTATTCCAAATCATAACAGAAATACCAAAACAATACATAAAGTTGCTAGTAACATAAGATTGACTATGCACTTGCCAGTAAATGCAATAAACTTATCTAACCTAATGCAATTGATATGGACTGCCGAGTACCGTAATATGAAAATGCACATGATATGCACTTGCTAAGAATGCAATAAAAATATAATACAAGGCAACTCGCACAGACACTAACATTTAAACGCACAAACGACGCAATAAAAATATAGTAACATATATATGATACGCACTAACATAAGTTAAAGTAACCTTTTATCTAGCAAATGCACTAACATTGAAGCTGATACGCACTTATCCATTAATATGCACTGACATAAAATTATGCATTTTACTATATACGCATCGTAATATGAAAATGCACATGCTATTTAATATGCTACTGCACATAGCTCGTATTCGCACATACTATATAGTAAAATGCAGACACAATGTATATGTATGCACATACGCATAACAGAAATACCAAAACAGAAATCTGGTCTATTCCAAATCCTAACAGAAATACCAAAACAATACATAAAGTTAGAGATGTAATAATAAACGCAATGTATATAATAGAGGTGTTCAATGAGACGGAACAAATTGATCTCATGGCGGAGTTGAAATTCGTTCGACGATGGGTGTTGTTCTGAAACAGAAGGATTTCGGACATATAGCGTTTGCGTAAAGCAAGCAATGCACGTGCGTCACCCCCGCAAAGACCACAATCCCATGACGCATAGGGCTGTCCAGCATAAGACTCCATGTGTCGCATCGCGAACACACCGCAATCTACTTTGTTCTTCGCATCGCGACATGATAGGCGAACCCTACGAGGTATGAACGTAGTGACCTTCATAAACTGATCTGTGGCCTCCACATCCTCCAGGAAAACGGTAAAAAACTCATGCTACACAAATGACATTGTGTTAATAAATAATACATGTGTCTACACACTGGTGGTTTTGACTAGACATGTGTATATTAAATGTACAATTAGAACCAAATTGTTAATCAAGCATACCAGCAGGTCAGGTATGTGAAGATATTTGTCGAGTGAGAGGCCACCAACAGAAGAGTTATCTAACACATCGAAACGCATGCGTCTAAAATCCACTACAATAACGTAGTAGTGACCAGCTTGAAGTATTGGAAATATGAACTGGCAACGCAAGAAAGTTAATCACAACCGAATGTGGTTAAAACAAGGACAAAAAATAAATACTAACCAGATCAATGTCGCCCCAGGAGTTAAACGGAGACGTGTTCAACTCCTCGACCATGCAATCCGTAAACCACTGCAGACGCCGACCACGTGGTGCAGAAACATTTACAACTGTGTTCAACTGATTCATGCGAATACAACCTAAGTCAACACCACTAACCAAGACATAACAAAACCTGAACTAAAAAACAATAGTCCGTTAACTCACCGTAGTCGTAAAGCGACACCAATAGCCTCGAGGGTGACCCACGAGGCCTCAATATCTCCTTAAAATTCAACACACTATGCCCAGGCATTTATTATGCCCACAAGCACTTCCTGACTTCAAGCAGTGAACGAAATTCTTCCCTCCGTGCAGATCGGCCACTAAATAGAAACAGCTCCTCATCCCTGTCAATGAACAGGCCACGGGCGGTTAGAACCCACTAAAGGGGGGGATTGATGAAACGAAAGTAGGCTGCAAAAAGGGATGTAATACATGTCGCTAAGTCTAGATCTAGCAACCCAATCATAGATTGCCTGCGGATCGGGTGCGTTGACACTTAGAGTGTTCGCCGGCACATGCGCGTGTCCGGTGATCGTATGAATTCAAGTCAAGCGTTCTCAATGCCGGTACGTTGCTAGTTGTTTGTCGCGGCTGCTTCACGGGCGCAAGACACCGCGGTGTGTTACATACAACCATAGGCGGGTTCAGTACTGGTATACGTTGCTATGAAACTAAAAGAATACAAGTAAGCCTCAGGGTATATAAACCCAGTTCCTACAAATGAACGGACAACATTTACACAAACTGCAGCAAAATGAAAACGTACCTCCATCGGAGTCACCTTAGTTGCACTCTCCCAGGAACACCATCGCGCAAGGTCCTTTTTGTTGCCCCCGCCAATACGTACTCCCAGGCTAAGTGATGAAGGCTTACGGACATCTGATACTTGGTGATCACGGTTTTTTTTTTTTGAAGTTAACTTTCATTTTTTGAAATTTTGTTGTATTTGACACTGTTCACTTGTGGCATTTTTTTGTTTTATTTTGGCATTTGCAGGTGTTTTGTCTCTGGTTGGACCAGGTGATTTGGTAATGCAATTTAACTTTTTGCCCTTGAGATACTGTAAGTATAACAAATACCTTGCAACAATTCACATAGGCCGGGTTGAGCAAAAAATCGACAGGCCCTCATAACCCGACAATTATGATTTATGAAAGGGGAGGCAGGTCGCAAATTATGCTGTGGACTCGTGTTCACAATGCATTGTGAACATGAGTCCAAAACGACGTCGTTTTAAGGGAAAACGTGGCCTTGCAGTTAAAAAAATAAATTTGATTTTGTCTCACAGTTAACGGCGTTATTTGTTTGTGGCATTATGAATGTACAGTTGTAATTAAATGTACAGTTATGCAATTATGAATGTACAGTTATGCAATTATGAATGTACAACTATGGAATTATGAATGTAAGTTATGGAATTATGAACACAGAGCTCTGACATTATGAACTTACAGTTATGAACATATAGTGATAAATTATGAACATAGAGCTCTAAAATTGTGAACATATGTAGAGTTTCGAAATTATGAATTTACAGTTATTGAATTATGAATGTACAGTTATGCAATTACGAATGTACAGTTATGCAATTACGAATGTACAGTCATGCAATTATGAACACAGAGCTATGACATTATGAACTTACAATTATTAACATATAGTGATAAAATTATGAACATAGAGCTCTAAAATTTTGAACATAGAGTTCCAAAAATTATGAATTTACAGTTATTGAATTATGAATGTATAGTTAGAAATTATGAATGTACAGTTATGCAATTATGAATGTACAGTTATAGAATTATGAACCCAGAACTCTAACATTATGAACTTACAATGATGAACATATAGTGATAAAATTATGAACATATACTCCTATAACAAAGTGGTCTAAAATTTAAAAAAAAAAAAAAAATGGAAGACAACAGTGCCACAAACAGCATGCTGGACACGGGTCCATAGCATAACGATTGGAGGCAGGTGGGGTATCTGATCCGGAATCATAACCCGGATAAGCATTAAAGCATAACCCAACGGATCTGAAATAGAAAATGGAAGCTTATCTTTCTACAGCAAATTAAAGGGCTCCTAGTTTCAGAAAAAGCATGTAGTAATGCTTATAATAAAGTAAAAGTCATGGCACATATTTCATAACAATCATATAGAATGGTTTATTCCGAATAACTAAGAATTGGGAGGCCTCAGATGAATGAGTACAGAGGATGCCAATTCAGAGCTTGAAATGCAACAAGGCAGAAGTTCCATCAAGGCCCTTTGCATGAAAATGGGCTACGTACTCCTTCACTGTGGTTTCCCTGTACTTTGGACGATTCTCATCTGACAATAGTTCTTTAATTGGTCCACAAACCCGTGACGATGGCAACATGTATGTAGTAAAGAAACCTGCCACTGATATCCTGGGACCACATTGATTAGCCAGCACTCTGTGTTCTGAGCTCTTGAACCTATCATTTGTCATAAGCTGCTCCCAAAAACACAGAAATTTGTTTGATTAAAAAAAATGAGTCAATTACATTTAAAATATAAAGAATTTAAGGCTTGTTGCCGGTCGGAGCTGAGGCTAGTAAGGGCCAATAGTGGGGTCCACATAGTTATACATTATATTATTTCAGAAGTTTCATTATTTTAACACGTAATGTACATTATTCTAACACATAATGTACATTATTCTAACACATAATATTCAACGACGTCGTTTATGTATAATTTTTTTCTTCATGCGCTCAGACGCCCAACTGCAACATACATTTTTATAAATTATAATGTACATTATTCTAAAGCATAATGTATATTATTCTAAAACATAATGTACATTATATTAACTTAGAAGTTTCATTATTTTAACACGTAATGTACATTATTCTAACACATAATATTCAACGACGTCGTTTTGGACTGTGGTCCACACAGCTTTGTGGACCACAGTCCACACAATAATTTGCCAGTAAGGGCCAAAGTCTAGCACCATGTGATAAGAGGATTGTTAGGCGAAGGTCG